TTTTCTTTTTCTTCTTTTCTTTTTCTTCTTTTCTTTTTCTTCTTTTCTTTTTCTTCTTTTCTTTTTCTTCTTTTCTTTTTCTTCTTTTCTTTTTCTTTTTTTGATCTTCTCTTTTCTTTGATGCAGTTGCAAAGCAAAATATTGCTTCAGGATGTGTAAGAGGAGGAGTGAGAGGATGAGCGTGAGGAGGAGTGAGAATAGCAAAGAACTCGTTCTTTGATCCAGAGAAAGGGTAGCGCAAGGATGAGAGAGCAAATGTCGCATAAGGGGTTGCAAGAGTGATCATGTCGCCATTTTAATTGATGATCAAGTAATGCCCTCTTGACCATGAAAGTTGTTTGTGAATTGAACTTTAGAACCGTTGAGTAGACATGATGCTGCTGTGACGGTGTCGGAAGACTTGAGTAATGGTAATGGCAAGTGCTCCATTCCGGCTGATGATGTTTCGTTTATTCGGTTGATACGTTCGAATTTCGATCTTGTATGCATCGGCAAATGGAAAAGCGATGCATTCGACTGCTCTCCTTGATCTTCTAAAGATTTTCTCGAATCGTCCGGGGAGATAACGTGTTGATTCGGGCCCGATTCAATCCTTTGTATTTGTGAGCTCTTTTCATGAAGTGATGCCGGTTGTGCCTGCGTTGATTGCCGCGATCAATGTTGTGTGACGATTTGAAAAGAGAAATGTGTGATGCCGATTGTACGACGGGTGGATCTCGAATGACAAGAGAATGATACCGGTTGAATGAGCTGTGATCCATAAACCAGAATTGGATGATGCCGGTTGAGTGAGGACGCATATGAGATGATGTCCATTGAATTTTCAAAGATTTTCCCGAAGCGTCAAAGAATACCTTGGCGTTTGCACCTGTGAGGCTTTTCTTGTGAAGTGAAATGATGCCATGTTTGTTTGCATTTGAGTGCCACAATCGTTGTTTCGTGAGAAATTTGTGATGCTGAGTGGATGGCAAGTGGGTCTTGAATGAAAAGTAGGTTTAGAAAGAGAAGTGGATTTGGAATGGGAAGTGGGTCTTGAATGACAAGAGAATGATGATTGAAGTGAGATGTGGGTGTTGGGGGTTAGTTTCAATCAAAAAAGGGGACTTTATATACCTTTCATCCTCTCATTTCACAGTTTCAAAATTCGTATTATTTTCCCTAAACTGTCGAGTATGTCAAAATCGAATCTGACAGGTCAACTTACAATAAGTCACATGCATGTTATATGATCAAAACGACCATCCATTCGCTAGCATGATCTAAAGTTCTAGACTGTCCTTGGACCATCCGATGGAATTAAGATATCCGGTTCTTTCGGCTTCCCGGCAAACTATGCTTGGCAGCCTTAACATGTCTGATATATTGCATCGCTGCTGCCTTATGTCTGACCATCTTGAGTTCTTGTCAACCATCAGATGGATCTGAGATATCACGCTTTTTTGACGTTTGCACAATGGCTTCCTTGATAGCTTCGATTACCTGCATAATCTGCAGTCGCAATCCTCACTTCTTTCTGCTAATCATCCGATGGCTTTGAGATATCCCATGTTTCTGGCTTTCAAACGAACACTTTGGTTTGACAGATAATATGCAGCTGCTATTTATAAATCTTACTAACCATCCGATGATTCTGATATATTCCGCTTTTCTGGCTTTCAGACGAACACTTCTTTGTCCAATAATCTGCAGCTGCAATCTGTCATTCTTACTAAACATCTGATGGTTTTGAGATATCCCGCTTTTCCGACTTTCAATCGAATACTTTTTTTGGATCAATCTTTGAGATATCCCAACTTTCTGGCTTTCAAACGAATACTTTGATTTGACAGATCATCTGCAGCTACTATTTATAACTCTTACTAACCATCTGATGGATCTGAGATATCCCGCTTTTCCGGCTTCCAAACGAGCGCTTCTTTGACAAATCATCTGCAGCTGTTATCTATAACTTTCACTAACAATCTGATCGATCTGAGATATTCCGCTTTTCTGGCTTTCAAACGAATACTTTTTCGACAAGTCATCTGCAGCTCCAATCTGTTAGTGAGACAAAAGTGTAGCTTCAATGGCCATTCTGAAAGCGCATCCAGACACAGCAGAAAGTAAGAAAGATCATGGATCTCTACCTCATCCACAAAGCAGAGAAAAGTAGTGCAAAATGAAAAATGAAAGTTTGAACTCGTATCAGTAAGCTCAAGAACAAAGAAGATAGCCTAGACAGTCAATGGATCCATCGCTCAATTTCCAGTGAACAAGCATAGATTGCAGAGAAGACTTTTGAGATCTGGAGCAGCATCGCTCCTTACCTATACCTCTACTCAGTCCATCCTTTTGATGCCGACAATGTATACAATACATCTGTTAACAACACGTCTAGAAATTGAATGCATACAATTTTGACATCACTTCTTCTTTCCACCTTGCAATTTGGCGGCAGCAGCTTTACGAGCGGCTTCGTCCTCACGTTGCTTCTTCTTGAAGGCTAGATCATCTTCATCATCTTCTGGCTTTTGCTTCTTTGCAGTCTTTAGCGGTTTGGCTTTTGGATGGAAGGAAGGTGTTTGTTTGTCAAATTTGTCAGTACTTTTCTCATTCTCTATTTTTGCAAATAGTCACCCACCCTTTCCACCTTGGTTTCCGGTCGGCATGTTGATTCTATGTGAATGAGGTAGGTTGATGGTGGATTAAGAAGAGGATATAGCCCTTAACCCAATTAAACTCTTACACGTGCTTCAAGCAGAGGATTTCAAAGCAGGCATGTATTCTATATAGAATAGCGCGTTTGACATGAATGCCCGCACTTCTTGACGCGAAACCAATGGATTGAACAGTTTATTTAAAGTGTTGTTCTCTAAAAAGCGCGCCGCGTAAATGCAATGAATGAAATGCAAGTTAAGCCCTTCACGCGTCTTGTATTTTAAGCTATTTGTCCTACTCCTCCTCCTCTTGATGAATGATTCATTTCGGAGCATTTCAAGCTCAAAACAACAAACACGTCAAATCGAACATCTCAACAGGTGAATGGGAAGAGTTCGGTTGCTGTACATGAACGACCTGATTGAATCCAAAAAGAGAAACAGCTAGAGCATGGTCGATTGAAGTCAAAACCAACGTCTTTATTCGGGATACTGGAATTATAAATGGCCCGTTCCATACATCGAGCGCAAAGCAGCCATGTCATCAGAAGGCCAAACGTATCGGAGTCTTTCGAAAAGCTACCACCAAGTCCTTCTGATCTCACGAAAGTAAGCGTATTAAAAGAATCATCTCTAAATCAAGAAAGAAACGGTCAAAGTTTGAAAAAAGTTCCCGCTTTCGATCCAGAACATCGCATATCTCCACCTGATAGGCTAGAGAGTCCTGCTGATGCATCCACGATGAATAAGAGAACGTCTCAAAAATCGCCTTTTCGCTCTCGTGGCTCAAATATACCAAGAAATGTGAACGGCAATGGTAAGAAGGTTTCACCCAAAAAGAATATTGCATATATGCCCGGCGATGGCATTCAACGTGATACTTCTGCAGAAATTTTGGCATCACTGTCCAACTCCAGCCGACTCAAATGGACGCCGGGTTCAAAAAGCTTCAGCGTGGTAGAACGTACAGGTGAATCGTCATATGAAGGTATGGACGATGAAGCACATACACGAGATCGTATCATCCTTCTGCCAACAAAAAGGGCAAGAGATCTTTCACGCTTCCATCCACGTCCAAGTACTTCTTCAATCATACCGCCGCCTGTACATGGAGAAATGGATATCAGCATTCTTGACGATGATGATTTCAATCGCGGACCCACTCCGCCGATCGAATACGAATCCGATCTTCAAATCGAGAATTCTGCGCCTGCAATTCAGCAAATCTCTACGAATTCGCCCAAGCCTGCCGTACAATCACCGCAAAAGAAGGGCAAAAGTCCTCGGAAAACCATGCTGACCCCTGTCAAAGATCGCTTTGTACCTACATCCTCACCTCTCGCAAAACAGATTGATGATGAGGAAAGTCAATTAATGGACGCAGAATGGAATGCGAACGATGATATGGTACTTATGACACCATTGCCTGCAAAAGCCACCAGAAAAGGTACACCTACCAATAGCTCAATGGTGCTGACTTCACCTTTTCACGGCTCAGAGCGAGACACGTCTTCTGTATCACCGTCAAAATCTCTTCGAGATCTTCTTGAATCGTATTACGAAAAAGTGGGAAGAGGAACAAGTGCTAATAGTCGATCGATTAGAAGCAATCATACAATTCAAGATTTATCGCAAGAGCCGACGCCAACGAGACCACTACGAAACGTTTCCGGTCATATTTCTACACCTCATCCGTACAGGTTGCATACCTTGAATGAGTTGCAGGAGGAGCAAGCAGCAACCGCAGAAGAAGCAACGCCGAATGCACAAAGATCACTTGAACAGCCATCAGTCACTCCTGATGCTCTACAATCCAATGCTTCTAGATTGTATGAGCGCGATCTCTCAACAATCTTAGCAGAGAATGTTCCATCTTCAGATCATGATGCCGATTTCACCTTTGATCGCGAAGCAGATATCCAAGAAAGAGCAGCTGAGAAACATGTTCCACAATATCGTAAATCGATCGGAAATATTTTCGATCGGATGCAACAAGGATCTTCTACTGGTGGTCATGATCGTAACCAAGGCACGATCATACGGCATACCTCTTCTTCGCCGATTGTTGAACGAGTGTCATCATCGCCTTTGAAACAAGTATCGTCAGCAAATCACAATGATAATGAGGTTGAGCAAGATGATCAAGATGGTCAAGAAGAGGAAGATGAAGATGAAGACAATCTCGAATACGAGCAGGATGTTGAGGATCCAGATGATGAAAGAGAATTGAACAACCTACGTGAATGGTCTAGGCAAGATGCTGGTGCTCAGGCGGCAGAGGAAAGCGATGCAAATGATGTGGGAGATGATTGGCATGCTTCAGCTCGTTATGAAGCACAAAGCGAAGAAGAAGAATATGATGAAGAGAATCTTGATGAAGAGGAGGAAGATTTTGAGGATGAAGAGGAAGAGGAAAATTTTGAAGATGAAGAGGAGGAGGTAGATCTTGAAGATGAGAGTCAAGATGAAGCTGAACATTACGAAGAATCAGTTGACGAAGAAGTCCAAAGGCAGGAAAACTTTGGAACAAGAGCAAGAAGAACAGACTCGAACGTAGCTTCAGAAGAGGGGGAAGAATCACATGCAGAAGCAAACAGCGTGACGATGAGAGAAAGCGATGAGACGATGGTGTTAGCAAATATGATGCGACAGCGAATGGAAATGCTTGACTCAAGACCTGACATGGTTGAACTCAGCAGCAAAAACTATGATGCAGCTGCTCGTGCAGCTGAAGTCCTCCGAGCATATCACAATTATGTGCAACATGGTTTGTTGGAAGCTGATTTCGATATGGATACCTGCACTATCACAGATTTGGATGAATCTCAACGAGAACGATCAATCACAGCTAATTCTGGTATGAATCGATCAAGCACATTGCGGAGCGCCGAAAAAGGTCGCACACCTAGACTTTCACGCCGTTCGGGTGAAAGGCATTCTATCATGGATACTGCACATTCTCCAGCCAAGCCTGCTACACCTCATTCTTCTGCTTCCATCACTGCAAGCACACCGCTTGTGCCTGGCGCATTTCCCGGTTCTAGCAATCGACATGCTCGCCGTTCAGGCCATCTTCAGGATGATAGGGAAAGGCAAAGAAAGCAAAATGTCACTTCTGGGACGCCGGATCTCACAAAATTCTCAAATGCAGATTTTAGACGATTGATCGATTTTGTTGATGCCAAGATCGTGGCTCATGCCAACAATCTTCGTGAAGAACGGGAAATTGGGAAAGGCGAGGCATACCTATCTGGATTGAAAAGTCTCGACCAATCTGACATTGTGATAGAATTCTTGGAGGAGAACGAAATTTTCGATCACGCTCAACTTCACGAATGGTCAAAGAAGCTAATGAAAAAACGCATTACTGTCTTGCTGATGAGGCTCATTGAGAAACTGCAAGGAACATATCCTGATCTTGATGTGAATGCTATGACGATTGAATCTGTTGCAGAGGAAGAGGATGCCACTTCTCCTGCTACACCATTACGTCAGAACAGCACAATTGATGAAAGTGGAATTGCAAAAACTGTTGAACGTGTACCGTTTAGAATGATAAACGCAAGCACACCAGCAAGGCCTAGCTCACATCTTAAAGAAGTAACATTTGCCGATTCACTGGAAAGAGGCCCGCAAAGTATCTATCCCGCTTTGCCAAGAGAACACAGAAAGCGCAACCCGAGCGCTATGGATGAAACAGAAACAACAGAGGACAATATCCGAGCAGATACGGCTTCGACATCTATAGCGGATGCAACGAAAAGTTGGACAAGGCAAGGCTTGAGCATGTTTGGTAGCTTCATTGATGGCGTGCTGTCTCGTGGCAAGAATCAAAGTCAACAATCACTTACGTCGGTTCATGACCCTGTTGAGGAGCAGATCGAAAGTGATGAGATAC